ACACAAAATCACATATAATAGAGAACTTTGTTAGGGAGTTTAATCACAGTAGAAAAAGACATGTAAACATATATGGACAATAAAGTTCAAGTGCTGCCAGTTACATTTTATGTACCATTTAAATATCAAAGAAGTAGTACAGCTCTGGGATGGCAGAGCAAGTTCCTGCAGGGGACCTTGTCTTCTTTCTCCCACATTTGCCTGCGGAGGGCTGCAAGCTGTTGAGTGTGCAGAGGCCTGCGTGGGTGTGAGGCCCCCAGGAGGACAGAGTCTAAGACCATCTGCAGAATGCCAGGCACTGTATTAGGGTCAATAAAGTATGTGCTAACTAATACTCTGTGTGTGTGTGTGTGTGTGTGTGTGTGTGTGTGTGACAGACAGACTTGAGACAGAGAAGAGGAAGGGGAGGATGAGACACAGAAGGGACAGAGAGAAAGAGATGGAAGGAGAGAGATGTTCATTTGTATAAGGATTGGAATAACGACTAATAATTATAAGGATGCTTGGAAAATTCTATCTATCAGTCATAGCTATAAGGGCAGGGCAAATAGCTCAGTGGATTAAAGTGCCTGCGAGCAGGTGCAGGGGCTGGGGTTTGATCCCTGGGCCTGCCCTGCCATCCCCACCCCCCGGGACATGCTGAGAAAGCAATTGAGACTGGGAGTGGTGGCGCACTCCCGTGATCCCAGCACTTGGGAGGCTGTAAACAGGAGAATCACTACGAGTCCGACCTTGTAGTGAGACCCTGAACACCCTGTACACATTTCCCTAAAGTACAGAGAAAAAATTAATGGCTATAAAATGAAAACAATGTCTCCTAAGTCTACAGTGAAACTGCGCCCTTCCCCGAGTTACAGAGCGTCATCTCAGCTGGAAGACCTGGGCTCCTCGGGTAATTCTCTGCTCCTATCTGCATGACTACCGAAATTCTAATCCAGGCATGAAAACTCAGCGTGGCTTTAACTATCTCATCTGCCAGGAAGGTAGCATGATTTAGCAGAAAGAAACAGTCCATGAGTATCTGAGGAACTGACAGAAGATATGGAAAGAAACATGTAAGGAAACCCAGGAGGAGAATGAGAGGGCGGGGCTGGGGGAGAGAGAGGTGATGGGAATTCAAATTGTGCATTTAAATCCCAGCTTTGGCTTTATTATCAAGCTTGTTAAATTTTTTATTAATATGCATTAGTTGTACATAGTAATTAGTCAAGTAAGCTTTAACAAATTAGTTACCTCTTGGAGCTTTATACTCTTTTTTGAAATTTCTACTAATTTTTTTAAAAGAAACTTTATTCTCTTAACCTGACCATGGAGCAATATATTTCAGGATGATTGTGAGAGCTAAAAATCACTTTTATAGTTATGCAAAATGAGTAAGTAATGGAGGTCTACTGTGTGGTACAGTTTCTATATCATTAACAACAATGGACTGTATGCTTGTAATTTTGTTAAAAGATTAGATGTTACATAAATATTCTGAACACCCCCCCCCCCCACAGACACACACAGACAAAGAGGCCCAGGGGAGACTTTTGGAGGCAAAGGGCTTGAACATGACATAGATTGTGGTAATGCAACGTGTCTAACTGTAAGTATACAATTTTTGTATGTCAATCCTATATCACTGAAGTGGGCTAACTAGGCACTTAATTCTTGAACTTAGATGAATGTTGTGGCTGCTACCACTTACTACCATTATCAAACTATGTGCAGCACACTTTACGCATTTTCTTATGTAGTTATATCCACCAAACGCCATGCATTGTAAAGGTGTTTTGAGTATGGTCACAAGTATGGGGGACATCTTATATTTTTATAAAAGAAGTAATTTAGCATTTAAGAAAGGCATGCTTCTCAACTCTCTAATGTGAATATGTCCCAGAAAATCTAAAAGAATGCATTATCACTTCTACTTTTAACGTGAGGAAGGACGTGCAACCAGCTCCAAGCCCCCCGGACTATCTAAACTAGACTGCACCCGAAGCTGTGGCGTATCCAGCTGCACACGCAGGTCTGAGTCAGGCTGAAAAGAGTGCCCCCCCCCAGTTTTGAGCTACCAGGTCACCAGGTCACCGCAGAACCCCACAACTGGGGAGGGAACGGAGTCTGAAGAGCAACGCTTACCGACAGGATCTGGTCTCCTCTCTGCAGCTCCCCGCTCAGGTCTGCTGGTCCACCGGCTAGAATGAAGGATACAAAAATACCTTCTCCGTCTTCTCCACCCACAATGTTGAAGCCCAGGCCCGTGGAGCCCTTGTGCAGGACCACCTTGCGCGGCTCCCTGTAGAGGCAAGGGGAGAACAGAGCTCACTCGGGGCCCGCTCAGGGTCTCTGCTTTTTTCGCGTTCATTGTACGATGCATGCCACTGGCTACTAGGTTGGCGGATTACGGCAGAAAGAGGCTACAGCTTTGCACCAAGAGCGTGGCTGGCAGAGATGATGTCTCAGCTCCTCAGGAACAACTTTCAAAGTACAGTGTAAAATCGCTCCTTAATTATAAAATATTGTCTTAAACTAGGCTTTTTTTTGGGGGGGCAGGGTGGGTACCATGGATTGAACTCAGGACCTTGCGCTTGCCAGGCAAGTGCTTATTCTATTGAGCTATCTCCACAGCCCTACTTCTCTTGTTTAAAAAAGTCTTTTTTTT